CTTCCATGTCGATATTTCCACTGAATGGTGTGCTTTCTTTATGTTATTTTCCTCTCTTTGATTCCCTTTCTGTGTTATCTTTCTGCCTTTGAAATTTGAGAAATAATAAATATGGTTGATTGTATTAACTATTTCAAAATTATATTTATAGATTTATTATAGTTTTTCAACATTTGTTTACTTAACTTAATTTCATTATTCCAATAAATGTAACTTTAATTAAAACAACACAAATACAGACAAACGGTCGTAATAAAGCACTTCGTTTTGTTGCTTCTCTTCGTCTTTTCATGAGTTTCGTTACTATTAATTACTATAAACAAACCAGAGTTAATAAAGTTGTCTTGATTCTGTTGTGATACATTTTGTCGCTTTGGTCGACATGTTTTTGTGTGGACGCGCTGAAGTGTGACCTCTCCATTCGAGCACACCAAAACGTAGTTGACACGTGACGACTCTTCGTCGTTATTGTTGAGTTCAAATTGTTTGTCCTTCACGTGATTCAATATCACAAAAATTGTTATTCAAATGTTATTCGGAAAAGTGAAACAAACATTCATCGTCACGATATTTGAGTCGCCTTCAAATTTGTCGGATAAAACCTCATGCCTGTTGAACGCGCAAAATTTTTCATGAAAATCTGGAAGAAAAGTGACATCATACGTTTTGTTTTGTTCCATCAACAAAACTAGTCTTTGATTATTTTTATTTTTTCCAGTTATTAATAAGAACCTTTTTAATTAATAAAAATTATTATTGTATTGATTGATAAAATTAAAAAGCTTACAATGTAAAACTTATGTTATAAAAAGTGCTCGTTAATTTTAATTGATGTAATTAAATTTTACTCGTTAATTTTTTGAACTTTCTTAAATTAACCAATAAAAAAATAGTTATTTTATTAATTAAATTAATTAAATGCAACATATGTTTTTTCCTCAAAAAAATAAAATCTAATTTGTTAGAACGAGATTTTTTTTATAAAAGTTGAGTCGTCAATAATCTTGGTGGAACGAGAGGATATTTGGGAGAGGAAAAAACAAGACAATTTAAAATAATGGACAAAAGGGATGATGTTACGAGTCCGTTGCTAGAAAGCACAGAACTCGGAGAACAAGGAATGGATTTGTTTGAACCACCAACATCCTTTTGCAAGCTCGCCATTCGTCTCGAAGAGATCCTTGGCGAAGAAGATAAGACAAAAGTGTTTGACAACACAACAGAAACAAACATCGAAAATAAACCAGAGAACAAGAAGTACAAGAAAGCTATTGAACACACACGTCGAGCAAATAACGTTTCCAAACTCGAACCGGGAATTATAATGACTGAGAAAATGCACCACAAAGATATCGGGCCGAAGAGATATGTCGAACTTGGTCAACGCGTTGACTGAACACTTTTAATCAATTATTTATTCATTCACCCATCACGCTTCGCACAGACTGTAAATAGCTCTGCAGGTCGTCCTCGCCCATAAAGTCGGGAAGGAAGATTCTCCGTCTTAATGACAGAGGGCCCTGGTCGACTGCGTTAACTCGTTTAATCGTCTCATCGACACCATACATCCTTCTGAGAAAGTCGTTCTTTGTCTCTGAATCTCCATTTGGCCTTTCCTCAGTTTTTTGATGTTCGCTATTCTTTTCCGATTCCTTTTCAATACATTGCGATAGTTCTACTTGTTGTAAAGAATAAAAGGAATTGTGTTTTCTCCTTTTTGAAATCAGAAGTTCGCTTCGGTACTTTTCGACCATCATTTTGTGATACGCCAATTTCATTCTAATATACTGTGTTCGGCTCATTCCTCTTATGCGTACTGAATAGTTTCTTCCACGAAAATGTCTTAACTTTGCTCGTGGTTGCGGTTTCACTGCTTCTTGAGCCTCCATTTTTTTTTCCAGTTTTATTTAAAAGGTTTTAATTAATAAAAAACTCAAATGATTTACTCACAACTCGTTTAATTCTCACACCATTTACTATGCAATTTCACTCCTATAAAATTCTTCAGAAGACAGAAACGTCCAAATTCTGTGGCAGCGATAACACACTGTTCTTCGTACAAAACTTTTACTCCGAGTGTCATAGATTTCTCCCACCAACGAACACTTTTTACATATCTGTGCACCACATAACTCGCACCATTTTGTGAAAAACCCCAATTTTTCATTACAGACATTACACGTGGGTTTAGCTTGAACTATTCATTACTACATTATTCACTCACTCATTCAAATCCAAAAATATAATTTCGTTCACTTTAAAAAAAGAAATCTTGTGGATTGTACACTAGATTTCAAGAGAAGTGGTGAACATTTTTTTTAATTACAAAACAAAAGAAGAAGAGCAACAAACCATTCCTTTGTAAATGCATTGAAACTTTTTCAAAGAATCCTTGTGCCGTTTGGGAGTGATTTCTTGTTGTTGCCAAAGCCAAAAAGTTCTTAGAAAGATGATTCAAAATGATATCTATTAAATCGTTGAGGTGCTTCTGGACATTGCTTTGGTAATTGGTTCCAATCCAACAAGCTGTAATGATTGGGAGAAGTGCATGATATCCTTCGACTCGTAACATTTGGTCGACTTCCGAGCGTGTGACGATATCATAGAAAATGGCCAAACAGACAAGAGACACTGGTTCACACAATTCACTGGTTTTGTTCACAAAAGCGATACTTCCTATAATCCCTACTTTATTGATATCTCGTAGAAATATTTCAGTGACGTTTGTAGGTACTTCTTCAATTGAATGAATGCCGCGTTTCACTTTGTCGTATTGAATAATATCTTTAACTGAATCAAACACCAAATTCACAATTTCCGCCTTCCAAATGCTTACGGCATCATATTGGAAGGGACTTGAATACATCGACTCAACTAAACTATTCACAAGATACTTTTTGAATTGCTCGCTACACTTTTTGACATATGAAAAGACCAAATTGCAGTTCATTGCGTTGATAAGTAAGTTCTGACACAACACTCTTTCACACTCGACAGAGAGTTCTTCCTCGTCAAAGACATATGAGAAGTATAACAACATCGGAATAACTTTCTGATTCATATTCTCATCTACACAATTCTCGTCTAATCGATAAGTCCCATTCAAGTAAATGTATTTGATAAATTCACCAATCCCTTGACACGCAGCACTCATCTCTCCTTTTTCTAGTTTGACTTCAACGACACATGGCGTCGGGTCACTCGTTGGCATTATTTCTTGCATTCCCTTCCCCCTTTCTTGAGTGTTTTCAGTATCCGTTGTACTCACTTTCTTCATCAGAAACTCGTTTTGTTCCTTCTCGAGAAGCTTTTCAAAATACCTTGAAAAGAGGTAAAGTAAGACACGATTGAACCCAACCTTTTCCACAGAATAGCCATCAGAAAACTCAAAAAATCCATCAAAGAACTTTTTATTGTGCAAGAGGAGAATGTCTTGAATGAAAGTGTTAGTTGACGGACTGTAAATGCTATCCAACTGCTTGAGGCGCGGACTTTTCTCCAATTCAGAATGCTCCACAGAATCATACATGAATTGTATGAGCACAGTAAACTCCTCATATGTATACCCACCTACCTCGTAATAATACACTCCTTGACGCTTTTCCATTTCCCCAAGTTCGACTTGAAAAAGTGGCGACCTTGCAGCTAACACAAAGGAGTGTGCTGTTATAACCTTTTCCTCTTCTTGTGGGAAGTAAATTATAGTATCGAAATATCTTTTGTCCTTCACGAGTAACAAAGGAAACACGTTTGATTCACCGCTCCATTCCATTTCGATATCTTTACTCCGACTTTCTGTGTTGTGTTTTGCTTGTTTAGTTGCCATGAAGACAAGTGGGTCTACCGCTTTCTTCAACTTTGTAAAGTTTTCTGTTTGCGCCACATCGACTTCTTCACTCTTTTCGTTGTCCGCGTGTTCTTTGTTATTCATCACATTAAAAATTATTTCAAAAAGGTTCTCGTCCTTTTCAACCGTCACACCGCTCTCTTCAAGTTCGTTCGGTTCTATTTTATCCATAGGAGGTGGTGGCAATTGTGGGATGTCCTTCATCTCCGGCTCATCTTTCATTTCAGTGTGTTCCGTCTTTTTTTCTCGTCGATTAACTTCTTTACTTTCTTTCATTTCCTTTTCCTCTTTCTTGGGAGCATTTGGGAATGGAGGAGGGTGCTGGGGTGGAGGCACATGAAATTGTTGTGGATTTGAAGGTACTCGTCGACCAAAGACAATAGAATCAATACAAAAGTTTGCGTGTTGTTCGATTTGAGTGACTGGAAAGAGTTCGCCACAAATTGGGCAAGGGACCATCTCCATGTTTTCAGCCATCAATTGTTTATTTCAAGTTCTTTTAAGTACTTTTTACCATCAATTTATACTATTATTCAACTCTATAATTTCACTCTAAATTTGGTTATCACTTTTATCGGAATCTAATTCCAATAATTGTTGTGGTTATTTGCGGATGCGTTTGAATTAGATACCGATAAGTTAATACACAAGAGACGTCAGAGCATTCCAAGCCATGTCTCTGCTATTTCATTCCAATGCCACCAATGAAGCGAATGTTTTGAAGCTTTTTAAAGCGGGAGTATACTTCCTTCTTAAAGTCTTTGTTATCCACAAAAATTTCTTTCAAGTCTTCATTGACCTCTTCGATATTAAATTTTCTCGAACATATCGTGAACTTTTCTAATTTTACTTCGTTCAAGTTAGTCTTCTGGAACTCACAGAACGAATAGATAACAAGTTGCTTCAAATTGATTGGGAAGGTCATATCATCTATGTAACAATTAGTCATCCAAAGCTCTTCCATCGCATCATATTCTTCAAAATTCAATTCCTTGACAGTCACTCCATCTAAAAACACTCGTTTGATCCGTAGTGGCAATACAGTTCCTTCTGGATATCCATCTTTAATACATATCTCTTCTACTCGACAACTTCTCATATCAAATGGGACAACTTCACAACTCACTGTTAACGACGTCATAGGACATTCATTTTCAATGTCCTTCGACTCACAGACTAAAACTTGAACAGAAGATGGATAACACCACTTTTCATCACAACAGTACGATTCGTCTATTACAATTTTCTGAAGGAATTGTAAATGATTTAAATTACTAAGGATTGTCGACTTCTTTAATTTGAGACTCGTTAAACCAGTAAAGGCCGATAAATCCCACGTTTTTTGTTTGGTCAAACTCAACTTTTTAATATAACGGAAATTGTCAATTTTCAGTAATTTTTGATGGCATTTGACGCATTTCAGACTTTCCACAGTGCTTGGAACGACAATCTCATTCTCTCCAATTATTTTAAGTTCGCGCAAATGACAACATTCCTCAATATTCTCACACGTCCCTTTTATAGAGAGTGATGTAATCTCTGTTGGTGCGCGAAACGAAACCTTGCTATCAACAGTCAAGTTCTGGACAGAATTCCAATTTGTCAAATCGAATTGAAATTCGCTTGTAAACATGATTTTATTTGGAAGATATTTTGTGTATAGACTTTCGTTTTTGTACCTAAAAGTCATGTTCTTCACATAAATCCTATCGTCAATATTCTCGAACCAATCTTCAACAACAATATGAGCATATGAGAATATTTTTGGAATGAGTGCGACACGACTAATAATTTCGTTTTCGACGTCCAACTTAATCTTTAAATTTTCGATGTTATAACTCGACACGTTTTTGAGGAATTCGTAATCGATCGTTGCCGTGTCGAATTTGATTTTAACGTTGTGGAATCGTTTTTGTCGTTGTGTGAAGAATTTTGTCATATCCACGTTTTGTATTTTTGGATAGAGTTTGACGTTTTTTAAATTTGGAAACATACTGAGATCCACGTATTCCTCATAGTAATCAAATTTCAATGATACAAGTCGTTCTTTGTGTTCTAAAATAGTATTAAAGTATTCTTTTCTACAATTATCTTTAATTTCAATACATTTAATATTTGGATCTAGGTTATTTAATATTTGTGGTGAATAAAAAAAGGTGTACAGACAGACAGTTTCGATGTTTGGAAATAATTTGAGTTCTTTAAAAAGTTGTTTCTCAAGTTCTATCATGTCCACTTTATTCATTTTTTTCGGATATGATAAACAATAACATGGATTGGTTTTTAAATAACACATGACGGATCCACATTTCTTATTGATCGTTGTAAATGTCTCAGCTGTCTTGAGCGTTTTCAAATAAAATACAACGTTCGCCAAAAACACCCTTTCAAGTTGTATCCCCATTTCGCTGTTTTTTAAGTTTTCGTTTTCTCAAAAAAAATTTCGTTGTATTTCTGAAGGAACATTTCTCATTTTCTATTCACTGTTGTCTTGGGATTATGTGGACATTTCAGGAATATTGAAGTAATTAACATCGTAAAAAAGCCATTAAATATTTTGTTATAAAATAAATAATTCAAATAATTGTTGCTAATTTTTATTATAAATTAATTATAGTTGTTATACTAAAATATATATATTTGTTTTTTTAATTTTTTAATTTTTTTAGGTATTGTTTTTAATTAAATTTATAAGTATAATAAGTAAGTAATTTTAATAAATAATTTTTAATTAATAATAATATTATTCATAGTGGTAATTTAATAATATTTTTTTTAAAAACTAAGTTAAAATTACTTTTTTTATATTACATAATTATATTTAAAAAAATACTAAATTTTAAAGTAATTAATCTAATAATTTTTGTAATTAAAATAACTATCATTTTTTATAACAATAGTAATAACAAAAGTTAAAACTTTTGTTTTTTTAAATATAAATTATATATTTTAGTAAAATAAATCATGAAAAACAAACAAAATGTTACTATAATTTATAACAAAAATATTATTAACAAATGGTTTTACTGTATCAACATACAACACACGATTCTGCCTTGTCTTTACATTGAACAGCCTCTTTTTTTGCTTTAGCGATCATTTTAATATCCTCGGGGAAAAGTTCCATATCGCCGCTTTCGTTATCCCTACAATTCTCGTTAATTCTGAATTCGAACTCTTTTGTTCCAAACAAAGTTTCGATGTCCTTTTTCCACGAGAACATAGAAGCTCCTGCGAACGTCGAGAAACTATTAAGTTCGACCACCTTTACTTCTCCCCTTTCCACATCAGTCACCGCGAAGTCCACAATATACGACGTGAGTCGAGATACGTCCGGAAGAGTCTTCTTTTTCTCCTCAAAAGTTGGCTTAAATTTCTCATCGAAGAAAGTACGAAGAACTTTTTGAATAAGGGCTTTATTTTTGACTAAGTAGTCACTGTAGAATATCGGATTGTACTGAGAAACTGCTGTTAAAATACCTTTGTGAACGAACCCCCTAAATTCAAGCACGGGATTAACAGCGTCACACCACTCCCGAAGCGCTAAGACTTCAAAGTTCTTTGTGTCGATGGTAGGAAGTGCCAAGAGTCGAGTCAAGTCTGTTCGAATGCGTTCGGAGTGGAGAAGCATATCCATCATTTCGTCGGTTGTTGTACATTTCAATAACTTGAACCTCCCAATATAATAATTTTGGACGTCTTTCATTGTTGGTTTTTCGAGTGTTGTACCATTTTTTGAAGAAGAATTAATATCATTGGACTCTTTGTAGATGTCTGTCAGAATTTTTTCAAAACGAAGTTTCATGTCAGGCGAAAATGCGTCCTTTGCACTGCGTGTCCCAAGACGTATGAAATAAGGTGGTGGGTGTTGGCTAACAACTTCATCAAGTTTAGTCTTTATTCCTTGAATAACTAAATCATCAGCGTCATATTGAGTGTACTTTGGACGGGATGTATATGTGGTTCCCCAAAGGTAACTATTCATACGCTCTAAAGACTCTGCCTCAGTTCTTGTGATGTAAAACGTCCATGTTTTGAACGTAAAATCAGATATTAAATCCTTCCAGACCTCGAGCATCCCTCCACCTTCTCCATACAAACGGCCAAGTTCTTTTAATTCCTCTAAATACTTTGGGTCAATGGATTCTTTTTCAGTCGACATGTGTTTTTATAATTCAGTTGTGTTTAATTTTGAATTTGTAAGCAATTAATTCCTCTTTCCTCTAATTAATAATTCAATCCACCAAGCTAGCCTTATGGGAAAAGCTTGCCTTCTGAGATTGTTTTTCAAATTATAGTTAATGTAATCTTAACAATTTTATAATTAATAATTAAATATGAAAAACATTATTTAAAATGGAGCTGGTTGATATGTGACAAATAAAAAATTGTAGATAATATAAATAATATAATATTTTATAAATAAAATAATATTTCTAGTTTATATAATAAAAATAATAAAAAAACAGTCCCAGAAGGCAAGATTTTTCCATAAGGCAAGCATGAGGGACTGGAATTAATTATTTTAATTATTTTTATAATTTTTATTTACTATTTTTACTAATAATATTTTTCATTAGTTTTTATCAATTGCCATTTCAAAAAACGATTTATTTCTATAGTAAAACGGTGTTCTATAATAAATAAAAGAACTTATTACAATAAAAACGTCCGTTATAATTCACAAAAAACCCGTCAACACAATCCAACACCAAATTACCATGTCACTTGTTCTCTTTAAACCTCTTTCCTTTTTGTTGTCTCTGTGGTTTTGAAGTCTCGTCATCGTCGAGTGGAGTCTCCATAATTTCCATCACTTTTTTTATAAATTCCTCGATCTGTTCGTCGGAGAATTTTTCGGGTTCAGTGACGAGGGAATAAAACTCGACGATTGAAGTTGGCGGGTAATTGGCGATTTGGACTTTTTCCTCGGGTGAGAGGGTAAAGTCTTTGAGATACTCTGCCAAGAGCAAAAGCCTTCTTTTTCTGAAGAGAGGTTTTGCGTCTTCGGACTCGTGGTGTCTATAAACAAAATATTCGAATGGAGACAACTCGATGTCTTTTTTGACTTTGTAATTGAGAAGAGACATTACCTCCGCATTTGTGAGGAGTCGTTCCACACTCATCAAATCTTCTTTTTTGAGTCTTTATGATTCTTTTTTATTTCTTTACTAACTTCTTTTGTAGTAACTGATAGTTTAAATATAGTTTTTCAATACTTAATAATATTAACAACAAGTGTTTTTTTGTTATTTATCTTTTATACTATTATTTATTAAAATTAATAATAAAAATGTCTTATATTTTTTTAAAATACAAATTATTTATCAATTAATGATTTATTATGTATTGACTAGTTTATTTTAAATTATAATAATACATTTATTAATTAAAATAGAATATCATAAAATCGGCATTTTTAATTTTTTCTTTCTTTTTTCATGTCCAATTATTTTTTACAAAGTTAGCACTTTCAAGCATCGAATCATGCAATGATTAATAATAAATAAAACCCCTTTGAAATAAAATTCCCAAAAATGGATCAACAAATAAAAATATCACTAAATTCCAACTGAAATAAACAAAAAAAACACTTTTGAAAATAGTCAAAAAAACAAATTTTCCTAAGAAAATCCCCTTCGAAACTCTCCATTGAAAACTCGAAAAGTACTGATATCAAAAATGGAAAAGGAGCCCTCGAAACACAAAAAGAAAACGACTGCTATCCAATCCCCACGAGATTTAAAAAGTAAGAAAGACAGCTCGGCCACTTCTCTTCCATTAACTCCAAATAGTTACTCCTCAAAGTACTCTTCTTTTTCCGAAGATAAACTTTTTGAAACTCCACGAAAGACGGACAATGCCTTCCTCACAAAGACTTTTCTTGGTGTTCCCAACATATTACAAAACTCGTTGCGCTATTTAGAAAATTTCTTCGCATCAAAGGCGTTTCAAAATACATTAAATGACACCAAGACCTTTCGCGACTTCTTGTGTTTTGTCGAAGATGATATGTCTTCCATTCTCTCGCAATCAGTCACTGAAAGTATTATTAATACATTCCCTAATATCCCAAAAGAAGCATATTTGGCATGTAATTTGAATAGACAACAAATACAACGGTTTCAACACTTGGTCTTCCAATACAATAAAATGCCTCACTTCTTCGGTTTGTTTTAAAATAGTTAGTATATTATTATATTTTAATATTCATTTTAAAAGTGTTTTAAGGCATTTCGCAAGTCAAGTTAAGATGAAGAGCCAAATCTATTTCAAGGTGGATATACCAATCAGTGTCAATTCTCAATACAACATTATCGATTCAACACAACGTGGTATATTCTTGATCCTCTCCACCTTGTTACAGTAAACTTTCAACAAAGGTATTTCCCTTTTTCATCATGAACATTTAAGATATTATACATAAAAAGTGCCATATAGAAGCAGTCTATGATTTTGGTTTTACGACAACTCTGACATGAAAAAGGCGTTATTTCTGCTTCAGAAATATGCGGTTGGTAAGAGCGTCAATTTATATCGAGAGGCGAATCCGTTCATAGTTATATTAGTGATCAAGCTATACTTCTTATCTCTTTCGCAATCTTTTTTCTGTGTGAAACTTGTCGACGAAATCGAACTGTCGAGTCACAAAGACACTTTGTGTTCTTCTTTTCCTTCTCCGATCAAAACAAAATCGTTTGCGTCGTCTGGGAGTGAGGACCGCCCGATAGTGGAGAGTCTTTTAAATTCAAAGATGAAGAAAGAGGCGAACGAAGTGACCAATTGCATCAAACAGTTTCTTGAAGATGACGAGAAGAATGTATTTGATGAAATTTTATCGGTGATTTCCTCAATATCAGAGAAGTGTGGAGTGGACGAATCAGTCAGAGCAATGAGATACTTTGTCGGGTGTATGTCTCCAGACTTTACTTTCTCAGACGACATCATCAAACAGATTTTTGCAGAGAAGAAAGACGAGAAACGAGTGTCGATACCAATGAACGACTCCGAAGAAGCATACGACGGTGAAGTCGTTCGATGTATCTTCGACTGTGTGAAATGCCCTCTATGCTTTCTCACAGAACCACTTAAAATGGATGAAACGACAATCCCGGGCAAATTAGCAGTGACTACGTATCGCGTGATGTTCACTCCAAATGTCAAATTGAATAATTCTCGGAAGAGTTTAATGGGGAGAGTCGCACAATGCCCCATTGGGAATATCATCGAGAAGAAATTGATCGAGCAAACAGAGGGCAAAACACAATACCACATATTAAGGATCGTCACTTCAACGTTTTTAGTGTTAACGTTTTTAGCAGATGATGACATCTTTAGAGCAGTGGATGCGTGTATAGACGAAGTATTGACTGAAGGGGTGTTACCCGTCTTTATTAATGGACTTGGTGTTGGGCACGTGAATGTACAAGAGGGCTGGATCAAGAGAAACACTCGGAATGGGTGGGAAGATAAGATGAATAAAGATTGTAGTGTATTACCAAAGAATGCCCCACTCTTCGAAACACAAGCAAGATGCACAGAAATGGGAAGATTGATCTTCTCGTGTTATTTAATGGAAAACACAGGAGCCACTTTACTTCGGCTTACCACACCATGTTTGTTGTTTATGGTTAATTTATTGATATTGAGAGTATGAAAGATATAATAACAGAAATAGAATATAAATAATACTAATATTAAAAGAAGAGTATTACAAAGAGAAGTAATAGAATAACACCCAGCAAAGAAGAATATCTTGAATGAACTCACTGTCGAACAAGGTTCTAAAATCAAATTTGACATCATGCCACTGGACCTTCAAGGGGTCGAAAACTTTGAGAAGTTATTTGACGATATCAGGAGTAAAGTTGTATATGGCAAAGACGCCAAAGAGGAGTTTCAAAAGTACACAGAGAAGGTAGAAGAGGTGAATGGAATGGTCGATTATTGTTTCAAGAAGTTGAGTAGTGTGTTGTATGTGTTAAACCGAGGTGTTAGTTGTTTGATAGTGCCCAAGAATTTGCGGGAGACTGATATCGGCATATTTGTGGCGTTGATAGAGATATTGACGGAGCCCTATTTTCGTACGATAGAAGGGATGATAGAGATCATTCATTGCGAGTTTTCATCGATGAAATACGATTTTGAGGGACAGAAGAATTCATTTGCATTTTTCATAGTGGTGTTACTTACAATATACAAAAGCTTTCCAAAGGCTTTTGAGTACAACCGAACATTCATTGAATACATTTTTCATCACTCAACGTCACATGTGTTCACAGACTTTAACATGAGTGATACCTCATCATTAAGTGAATACGTCAAAGAGCACTTCAATGACTTCAAAAACGTGTTTTTCGAGGAGATGCAAGACACGATATCCATTTCATTGATCACAGTTAAGACATGTGGCGAAGTCTTTTATAAAACGTTTTGTATGAACAGTCAAGTGATCTACAAAATCTTACAACCACAAAACACCCCAAATGAAATCGACTTGCAAGGAATGGAACTGTACTTCTTCCCTTTGTTCCATAACTTCCCAAGTCTCGAAAACGTCACGAAACTGTGTTTGAGGAATAACAACTTATCATCATTCCCAAGCGAAATCAATCAGTTCATTCATATCAAAAACATCGACCTTTCTAAGAACAAAATTAGTCGAATATCTGACATCATTTGTGAATGCACTAACTTGACTCTGTTGGACATATCAGACAACCAAATACTCTACTTACCAAGACGCCTCACTTCTATGAAGTTGTTCGAAATCAATTTGAATGGAAATTCCCCTTCGCAAACACCATTTTCTCTGTACTTCCCGTCGATGTTACAAAAACTCTCGCTGAAATCGTATTTCTTCCCAACAAACATCTCTTCGGTCAATTTGACTTCACTCGATATCGGCAGCAATTTTTTAGAACCCGACTTCATGCACGCGATACCAAAAAGTGTTGTTGAGCTTGGGTTGTCTAGTTGCTTATTAGAACATCTGCCAACGTTAATCACAAAATTGACAAATTTGGAGGTGCTAGATATCTCGGAAAATCCTATTGCAAGCTTCCCTCCTGCTTTCTTCACACTCAAGAATATTAAAATTGTTAAATTACTGAAGACCAACTTTAAACAATTGTCTTACTTGTTCGGACAATTTGAGAAACTCGAAAAAGTCGAAGTTGATGAAAGTGTTGTAGTACCAGCCCTTCTCTCAAAGATCTTCCCTGAGAGGTTAATTAAAGAAAAGTTGCCACGGAAGAGTAGTGAAGATGTGGTGAAAGTGTATTTCACGGGTGATGGGTCGCAGAAGGATGTGTTAAATTTACTTGTCAAGAAAACGAGCTCAGACAAAGAAAGTGTCTATTCCATTGATAAAAACACGGAAGGAGTACTTCTGAATTATGAAGATATAGAGCAGACTCTATTTGATAAGATGAAGAGTTCAGTCTTTGTGATTTGCTTACATCTCGTCAACTCGAAAGTCAATTTGGAGCCATTTTCGAGACTGGTTGCACTCTTCTCTTTTGTTCAATTGAAACAACCAATCATTTGTGTGATGGTGCGAATCAACACAGAGACTTTACAAGACACGGATCCCATTTTTGAGAAGGTGATCCATGACACGTATCCAAAGTTAAAAATAGAATTCATGTTCTTTGATATTAATGGGAAGGAAAAACACGTCAAAGACTTGACGAAGTTACTCAAGAATTACTCGGACATTTCGCGCATATCACTGACGCCAACGTGTAACAAGTTAGTGGAGGAATTACAGCTGTTAGACTTGTCACCTGGCATCGTTGAATTGGATTATATCAAATTGGTGATGGATACGATGGCGATCAAAGAAGACACCCGTGACAGTGTATTAGAAACCCTTCAACGTATGAATTACATCTTCACATTTCCAACTGAATACTCCACAGCGGTATGTAATTATACAATGCATTATCAAATGTCACGCCCACATAAAAACCACTTCTGTTTAGTAGCAAGTAAAATAGTGTATAATATGACACTCTTTTTAAGTTTAAGTAAAACCACAACAGGACTCCAACCACCAGACTTCTTGAATGAAATCGACTCGATGGGGATCGAACAACAAGAATACTTGTTGGTGCTCTTAGAGTATTTCCACGTAATCTTTGTCTTACGGAAACAGTTTTTCGAGAAACTGGGGATGAGTGAAGAGTACGACACACTCTACCGCATTGTCAATAGTCCGGGAGGCCTTCGCCAAAGCAATTCGTCAATAACAAATA